TCCTACTGCGTGTGGAGCCACTCCTACTGCGCGTGGAGCCACTCCTACTGCGCGTGGAGCCACTCCCACCCACTTCTCTATTATTATATAGAATAGTCTGTGGGAAAAGAAAAATGCCAAAGTAGTTTTGACGCATGTTGTATAATCAGTACTTGGTACTTGTATAGAAGCAATGCTTCCCAAACTAAAAAAAGTAACCAAATTGTTAGATATTCACGTTAATTAAGCAATGCCAAATGGTATACGCTAACTTTTAACTTCTACATCAATGCTCACCTTGAAAGTAGTTATCAAGAATGAGCAAAGCATGGTCATAGATCTCATGACTGTCCCTGCAGTGTAGATTTTCAATTTCCTTGAGTCTGTGAAAAAGTTCATTTGTTTCATGGAAGGTTGCTGGTAAACACAAGGGGTGATGTATGGCTACAACATTTCCGAGGATGGATTTACGCCAGGGAGATTTCACAAGCCTTTGGGGAAACACTGAGTATACAGTCCTGTAATAAACATCGGGCAGGGCAAAAATCCAAACTTAATGGCTACATGTTACAATCAAAAGATGTCCAGGCGTGGGATTTTTCATTTCACTAGTGTAGTGGGCATAATATGATAATCATGACACCTGCTTACATTATTTATTTGTTTATGCCTTTTATTATCAGCCAACCAGTGAGAATTATTCGTTTCCGGCTAAGATAGTGAAAAGTTTTTGCATGCTGTACAAAAAATACAAATATCCTCCCTTTAGAGAATACATATATTTTAATGATGAGAAAAAAAAACAGGGATTTTACTTCACAAAAAAATAATTATGAATTAACAATGAAAATAAATAAAGGGCCTAGCTTGAAGACACAAAATTCATCCTATTACACTAGCCACTGCTAAGCAAGTGTTACTTTCTGGTAAATTGGAAAGATGAGGGAAGTCCATCTTGCATGATCTAAAGCCCACACCCAATTTGCAGGTAACTAGAAAGCTTATTACTCACAGCATATATTATAAAAACTGTAAAAATGGTCACTGTTTGCATAACTTGTCTGTGTATGTTTCATTAATGGTGATAAAAAACAATGCAGTGCGGAATGCAGTATTGTATGCTCAGTGACGTCAAAGCACTCTGCAATCACAAAGGGCCATGATCAGTTTTCTGCAGCAGCTGCAATTAAAGTTACCTCCCTCACTCAAATCTGCACTCCTGGGTGAAGAGAGCCAACTGTAGTGAGGTTACTTGCCTTGCAGGGAAGTTCCCCAGAGATGCACCCACACAAAGAGGCCAGAAATATGTCCACTGAGCTCATTCATAAAAATTACACGCTAAAATATTCTATTTAGAGTTCTGAGAGCCACGGAATTGGGGAATTGAAGAAATTTGGAACTGAACCTCTGGCCTGGACTCAGAGCTCCCAATTCTGAGTAATTTGGATGCAAATCGGGTCCCACATTGGCACTATTTAACCATTTTGCAGAGGGATGCATTTTCAAAATGACTACTTTTCGAGGCAATGAAAATTCTTCATTTTATGGGTGGTCTGCTTTGGGTCAGAATTTCTCAAAAATTCATCCGTCAACCTACTTAAAATCGAAAGAAAAATGAAAGAGGACATATCAAACGACATTTTTCTGTCCAGCTTGGACACCTGTGACAGTTGCATTTTAAGAATAATATATAATAATATATAATAATACATTTTGTAAAAAAAAACATCTCTACCCCAAAACAGATTTATTGGGGACGTGAACCCCGTCAAGCCACAATGTGATTCAAATAAACCTTTGAAGTGGTTTATTACAGGATAGCTGTAGGTCATGTAATTAGATTTGTCTCGATTGACGAAAATGCATCATGACCATGGTCATGAACCAATGGTGAAGTATCCCACAATTTAAATTAAATACAGGACTGGATTTAATAAAGTATAATTGCTGCAATTTTTGGGGTAGAGAAAAAATTTGGCAGTTTGCAGATTACATCCATGATCTCATGCTTAGTGTTGCATGAACAAATATACCATTCAACATGCAACCATCAATGAGTGCATTAGATTAACCTACATACATACATTCCACTTCACTGGCTGGCTCAGATTGTCGTCCCAATCTCACTTGTTTGACACTGAGTACATGTTTATGGCCACATCACTGGCCACGGTTGTCTGGCTGAAGCTATTAAAATGCACCCTTTGCTACATAATCGTTCATTCCAGTAGGGAATATGGCTTAGTGTTTGTACATGCAGTCCAGTTCCCAGTCCAAACCAGAAAGATTCTGGAAACTTTCATGACTGTAACAAATCTTTTAGGTCTTATAGCAGGGTAGTGCCAATGGTGACAGGATCAAATGGGGGAATTCCTCTGTTTTCTATTTATTGGGCAAAGTTTTCCAAACCACAGACTATTCTCAGGCATTGTCAGGAAGACAAGTGTCTTCAGAATCTAAAAATGTTATCTGGACAGTCATGCTAAGTATCATTATCCATTTTTTAAATGTATTTTGGGGGGGGGCATTAGGAAGATGTTAATTTATATAACGGGTTTTGCCCTTACCCAACGTATATTAATAAGCACTGTATGCTCAGTGTTTGTCCAAGAGCTTGCAAAAAAACTTCATAAGCTTGTGAGGTTTTTTTAAAATAAATATCATTGTCCAGTTTGACTTTACGCCAGTGCCGAGCAAATGTGAAATCAAGGTTGAGTTGACAGATATTTTCCTAGGGCTGTCTTACATGTGAATTGGGATGACGTTTGATGTATGATTTCATCAAGGAACTTGTTCAAGGCTACAATTGTCTTAAGTGAAATTTTTTTTTTTAGTATGCTTGAGTGCATTAAACTTCGCAAAGGAGCATGTAACACCAGTTACATGTAAGTCTATTCTTTGTGATCATACGTGAATATGTACCGTACATGGGTGACACAGGCATACAGAGGGCTGTCAACAGCAATTACATTACGGATGAAATGATAGAGGATTGTGACTTTGTACTGAATTAATGGCATTGTTTTGAGGGTTGCTACAGCAGGTTTTGTTGCATTTCTGTTGCCTGGACCTAGATACTTTGTAGTTGTTGCCTGTAACAAATCTAGCTGCCCCCAACTACCGGCACGTTTTTCGAGTTTGTTATTGCAGCATGACTGATTTTGTTGATGTACCCTGTCGTGCAGGCCCTAAGGTGGCATGTGCACTTTGACTTTTTACCTCCAGTGCTTTGCTGGAAGTTGGAACAAAACATGTATTTTCACAAATATCACAGTAAGTGAAATTTCATCAAGCTCAAACCAGCTTACAAAGATCCAAGGACATTTTAATTTGGCCTGTTCTTCCAATTTGTTTGTTTTTCTTTCTTTTTCAAAATGTAAAATGAGCTCTTTTCTATCCCCCAAAATAAAAACAAATTCTAACAAACTTGCTTATTTTGATTTTGAGTGGAGACAGTAATGATTTACTAGGATTTAGCAAGAACTTTTTTAATGTTCATGTGGAATTCTTTTAAATCCTAAGTGCCGACAAAAACACGTGTAGGGAACACTTAGCTGGATTCGTGCCCAATTTCTGGAGGCCACCATTTTGGAATGTCAGACTGAATTGCATGCCACTGAAATCATTCACAAAGGTTCAACAGCATGTACATGGTACCAGTATTTAACTGAATGAATTTGAAGTTTTAAACAAAGCTAGACCTCTGGCCAAACTGCAGTCTACAGGGCGCCCTGACAAGGATATCGAGAGAAACGTCTGAGCGGAGTGCACTTTGTTAGGCCTACAGCCTGGGTGATTTTGCACAAACAGCAGCCTGTGGGAAGAAAAATGGGGCAATGTTTGCTTCTTTCTTTCTCTAATACAATGCCTTTCTACCATCGTGCAAAATCACCTAGGCCTGAGGCCTACATGTACATGGTAACATCTGTAAAAACATCAACAATACGAACGTCTATACACCGAGTGGAGCGTAAGTATTCCTCTTTTTCGAGTTTTAGACAGCAGTATGACTGTTCCCGTCCAAAAAAAGTTGAAAAAGAGGGACACTAACGCTCCACTCAGTACAGCTAGAAGCAGAACGCCTACAAAAAAACAAACTGCACAGTGAATCACCTCGTCTTTATCATGTTTTTTGTGCTACTGTTGCATCACACACTTCAAGTTCAGTCACATTTCCACGTTCATGGATACATCGGGAGTCAGGTTGGCGTGGTGGTTCTTTCCTCGCCTTCCAGTTCCACTTCTGCGGTCCAGTTCGAATCCAAGCCCGGTCCACACGTGGATTACACGCCCTTCCTCCTTTATAACATGTAATGTAGGTTTTCAGTTCCTACATTCATTGTACCATGACTGTACCTCCCACTAGGCCAGGCTATACTGTGTAACTGCTTCTCATTGTCTCCTCTACTACCTGAGGCCAGCTCTACGCCTATACAGGTTTCATCAGGCTTGCGAGCTACAGTGCCCAGGGCGCTTTTGAGGAATCCTTGGTTTCATTACCAGAAATGATTTAAAATAATAACAAAGTTGATGTGCTGTTTCCTGCAGCAGTTTTGATTAACGCGGCACCTGTACCCAAAGATTGTATAGCGCCGCTACACAATCTTTGCCAGTACCTAGTATGGTACACTTCGTCAGCTCGCGCGCAGCGAGCTAGCATGCATCATATGCATTGATGGTGCGTCCTCATGCTAGCCTTTCGTCAAGGCCTTCTAGGCTCTGTGTGTGTGTGTAACTGCAAAGCGACTGGACAGGAGACCAGGCGATTGACGCAGCCACGAGGCCTTTTCCAAATTGATTTTGAGGTTTTTGTGGTGAATTATTCATAAGCTTTCTTATATGCATTGTTCATAAATTTCATGTAAACAGTTGAAGCAGATGAGTCTCCGAAATAAACAGCATCAACTCCAAAGCTTACACAATGTTCCCTCTGTTTTTTCATGAGGGCAATAAGCGGTGAGATGACAACTATGATGCTTGTTGGTGTACCGGTACCGTGGGACCTGGGGATGGTGCTGACGTTGGAGTAACACTTGCAAGTAGCAGTTTGAATGGTCAAAGCAAAACCCAGTGCTTGAAATATGGAGCGCTTACCATATCCTGTGGGCAGAGACGAAAACGTCACGTCTGCGTACAGATACTTCAATAGCTTAACGCTGCAACGGTTTAAACTCGGCAAGGTGAAGTTTTCCAGCAGAACTGTCCAAATACTGCTCAGACTATAGACCTGCACTCACGGCCGCCGACACACTTGACACGCTCGCCATCTATACTTTTAATTTGCATAATAGGTTAATATGTGCTGACCTCCTCATTTATAATTGGTTGGGAGTTTTGCTACCCCAACGGCCCGGGTGGTAGCAAAAATCGAAAACATGAAAAAAAAAATCCGGACAAGTTGGGAAAGGCCTCGTTGCTACGCCACTCGTGCATGTGGTCTCCGGTCCAGCCGCTTCGCAGTTACACATAAACACAGTCGCGAAGGCCTTGGCGAAAGGCTACCTTTATACAAGCTACCCCATCACCGCCTCGTCCGCGGTAACCAGTTGCAGCTTCCATCTTCAGCGTGCCACGAAATGCTCATTATATAGTCAGGCAATTAACCGGCCTGCAACCCCATGGCCTGCAGGTCTTGCAGCAACAGGAAGAAATTACTGCCGCGGCAAATATAACCGTTTAAAACACTACTAAATCTGACAGAAACCAGCGAAGTCCTGCATTAACAGGGGCAAACAATGTTTTTGTTAATTGGAAATTACAGACTACTACCTCGAGGACAAGTTTTTTTTTTATCAGACCAGACATAGCCACATTATATTTTTTTTCATCACAGTCACACAAATTTGAAAGTGGCAGAAAATCTCAGACCTCTCACCCCAGCCCAGTGGCGTATCCAGGTCTCGTAAGGAGGGGGGTGGAATTATTCCCAAAACAAACAATTCAATTTTTATTTTTTTTCAGCCACCCCCTCGTCAGGTTGTAGAACCGTCGCTGAAATAATCTGCAACATCACCATACGGGTGCAACCCCCCCGTTTGAAAAGCCGCAGTTCATTTACTTTCAGTCCCTCCCCTTGAAAAATCTGCACACCCCTGGGTGCCCCCCTCCCCACAAATCGAACCAATTTACAATACTGTGTGCCATGTATTCTTTCAAATACAACTGCATGTACATGTGCACCAGTTTTCAATAGTGTACTTCACGCAGTTATGAGATCTGTGGTAGTGTACAGCTCATTATTTGATGGAGTTAAACAGTTGTTTTTTAACTTCCAAATCAGCCAAGGGTTTTCTCAAACTGCCTCTATTTCAATTTGTATCCGGTTTGATTTACCCTGTACACTAAATGGTTGCACAGTGATAAGACTAAAGACGACACCAAGCAACCTTTCTGAACTCTTCACAGATTGCAAGTGGTATTATTCATCATGCAAAAAGGAACCAGGGATGATGCCAACAAATTCTGGATTTTATGCAGAAATTCATTGCAGTAAAAACAAATTTAATCCTTACAAGACTACTGGTTTGGTATGAAGAAAAGGAAATGACCAACTTAATGGCTTGTATTCAGCCAAGAGGTAATATTTTCGCAATGAAATTACATTTTCAGAGGGTTCATTTATTTGAGGGCATTTTGAGTCAAATATTTACGAAACTGCTAAGGCATCATACGCTACTTTTGCAGTCAAAATTTTTATATTCAATATGTATGTACAATGACTGATGTGAAATGTGAACATTTAAAGCGAGATGTGCTCACTTTATATAAAATTATTAACAGGTTTTAACACTGAAAAAACTTTGAAAAGGCGTAAAGTACATGTTCTGTTCTACAGGTACTTTTTGAGCTTGTTAATGCCTTCCTGTGTTACAGAGGCAATCCATCCAGATGAATATTGAGAATGGATTTTTTTCCAGTGTATGCAAATCAATCTGGATTTATGGCAACAATAAAACAAGGCCTCCTCTCATACTAAAGGACTTTAATGATAACCTGTTGCATTACATATTAAGATCACATTAGAATAAACATGCACTCGGGCCATTTCAATACGTGACACAATGGTATGAGTTAAGGTCTACCTTTAGTTTCAGAAAACAAATTAAATTACTGGAGGAAAGCATTTCAAATTCATTTTAATACAAAGTAAAAAATATTGCTCATAAAAACAGTTGGGAAAACGAAATATTTCGCACTTCCCCCTTGCAGACTTGTTTTGTATTTTTTAAGACAAGACACCATCATTTCTACATGTATTCAAATGACCCTTGGACACTTTAATCCTCGCACTATGAATATTTGCATTCCGCAAATCCACAGCTTCAAGCTAGCCAATGGCATCCAGAACTTTAGCTTCCAGCGCTTTGCATATTAAGCATGCCACAAGCCTAATATCAAATGTGTTTCCTTTTTCCCGTTTATATCTTTTTTTACAATAGTACTTTTTTATACAAGGTATCAAAACAGTGGGGTTGGGCTTCGTTTTAACAGATAAAAAGCAACAACCCTCTTTTTTCTTTAAATACATTTTTTTAGTCTGGAATCAGAAGCAAGTTCTGTCTGCATGCCATGGACCCCCTTGTATTATTTACAGTGTACACAAAAGGCTAACTACTCAGTGTACATTTGAATGTTATAGAAACAGTGGGGATAATTGTTTCTTTAATATGATCCACAAACTGCCGCAACAATGTTATGTACAATTACCTCATCAACGATGGGGAAGGAAAAAGAATTAGAAATGGATCAGCAAAAACATAAAAGTCCAGTCACATTCATGGAAAAGTGCTGTCGATGGCCAAAACGTTTGCCTGAACTAAGTTAAAAAAATAAATAAAAAATAGCAAAATTTGAATTTAAAATTACTGAAATCAATCGCTCTGAAGCCCTGAAATAATTTAAATGGCTTAAAAACATCAAACATTCAGAAATTATAAGCATTTAAAAAGATCAAACACATGTACCAGTATTCACAGTGCAATAGGTAGCAAATGCCTTCTAATGATGAAGTACATGGACATGGAACAATGACAGGGTTCTTTGTTCCTAACAGGAAGCATACCCACCCATTCCCAACACGACGTACAAAAGCTAAGTTTGATGACATCATTATCTCCTCACCATTTTCATAAACTGAAATGTCAACACTTTGAAATGCGGACACTTCGTGAAAACAGCGTAACACACAATTTTGGTTTTCATGAACTGACACCAGGCTGAGCATGCACACTGCACAAACTGACACGCAGCAGGATGTTTTCATGAACTGACATGCAAGCATGTGGCGGATCTACCTTGCAGATAAAAATGCTTGTAAGGGTTTTACACAAATGTACTCTACCTACACATACTTCTGGGATTAAACAAGAATTGTACCTGGAAGCCTTGTAACTTTGGAAATTCTGACAAGTTTTTCTGCACGAAAACAAACACTGATTGTCCACGTGGAGTGCTCAATTACAGTTCTTGAAAACCAAAATTACTCAAGTCTGTACAATCTTGTGCAAATGAAGTGTACTAGAGAACCAATGGGTGTTAGTTCAAAGTGTCAGTGATGATCTTAACACTGAGAAGATAAATGTCCCCAATTAAAGAGCTTTCAATTTTCTGGAAAACTTGTGTCCATCTGCATGTTAGTTTGGTAATGCCTGTTGAAAACAAATCAACCACAACAAATGCAACAGGGGTATCTCTCACTGGAGCTTTCCCTAAAGGAACGATTATCATGGAAAGAAAAAAAAAAGCTACATCAGAGACAGACGTACCACATACATGTGCCCATAAGTTGTGCTGGGAAAAAACACAAATTACAACAAAGACCAGTGCTTCATGACAACTGGATAAAACATGCTATCCCACTGAATTTATAATAAGCAGTTGCACTGCCCTAAACAATCCACAATGGTACTTTGAATAATTGATCATACTGACAATAGAACTATTTGAGGCCTCTGTTCTTTGCCAGAATTGACTTGATTTCCCACTGGCTAACAACAAACAGAGAGCATTTTACGGGGGAATGCATCATCACAATTCCAAGCAATTAGTTTAAGCTATTTCAATTTTTATGAGGTAGGGCACATTAAAGATCTGGAGGTACATTCCAGAGATACCAGTGACTGTTAATATCAATACCTGAATTTTTGTTTAGTGATCCGTTCACCTCCTTTTTTCATTATATTGCGTCAGTTTTTATTGACACAAAAATTATGCAAAGCTTTATTCGTTTCCCTTTTGGTCAAATGGGGTCAACTTGAACATTCTTAGGACTGTTTTGCTATGCAGGCTTGCTGACTGAATGAATTTATGGACAATCAAGCTAATGTTACCTTGTAGTTAACTGCTTGTGATTGAATGCAAGGAATTATGTGTTTACATATCACACCTCCCTCCAATAAATGCATTATACACTGGGTTTATACATTCATCACAGTATTTCCCAACAAAATGCTACAGAATAAAGGTTGATTCATACTTGAACCAATGCAAACAAGAACATAATTTTGTTTTGACAAATATGAACACTGCTAATTTGAAACAGTCGAACATATTTGACCTTATGCAATTTTCCCAGTGAAGTTTCATCCAGTCACATTCCCTTTATTTTAGCATTTGTCTGAAGTACAAACCAGCCTAAAAGCTATAGGGATAACATACTTCACTAGGCCACAAAACATGATACAAAACCAACGGTCACAAACATGACTTTAAGCTAAAGCCAGAGTTTCCAAGGCAGCCTAAAACTTTGATTAATTAAGTTGTGTCAACAGTTAGCATTTAAAGTCATGTCTTAACCCTAACCCTCCTGAATCCTTCACCTGTCGGAGGATTGAGGAGGGTTAGGGTTAATGATAACCCACAGTTCATTGTACATGCCGAGTGAACTGAACAAAAGGACTTTTACACTTATTCCGGGTTCCTTTATTTGTTAATGATAAAAATACGTATGGGAATACTTTTTGAGCAGAATGCTTTTTCAGAACTTAAAAGGCAATTCCAAAGCCTTCGACTATACATCCTATTCAATTCACAGCAGCAAAACAAAAGGAAGGGTTTTGTTCCCAAAAAGTGTGCTTCATTTATCAACACCTAGATTGCAAAAACATCTCACACATTTTTAACTGCAAGGCTTGTCTCTTGCAACAGCAGTCAAGAGAAAAATGCAGCAAGAATTAAAAAGGCATTGGGTGACAAGTGAGATGAAGATTTCAAACTGACATCTTAGATCTCATGTTCTGCGACACTGGGTCCAACACAGAGATACTGAAGGATGAACACACACATGTACAGTATATCTTGATACTCTAAGCTACATGCATGCACATTTCCTTCTGCAGTCAGAGGGCACTATCCAAGTCCCAAGTCATTTCAGAAGCTTTGAGACATTTGCTCAATTGTGCCTGGTTGTTTGTCTTACTGTGCAGCCTACTGATTACCCACTTAATGAGGGGCTATCGGTAGCTCATTCTAACTGAAGAGTAAAGCAAATGCATTTTCTAAAAAAATAAGGCTTTTCACTTTGCATGTCACCCAGCACATTTTTCCCGAGTTAAACGGTTTGAATTTTTCATTAAACTGACATCATTTCAGCCCAAAACCATACTTTGCTCATGCTCAGTTAACTTCTGTTTGTAAAACTTGAATTTACAACAAGAGCCTTTCAAACATCAGACCAGTATTAAGTATTTGTAGATTAAATAACTTTTCCTTGTGAATCACTGAAAATTCTTATTCGTTGCTTTAAACTGAGCAAATCAACAAGGTTTTCCCCAGTCATGTCTGAAATTTACTCCAATCACAGTTACCAGTTGGACAACTCAGAGCTTTGTGTTTGTACATGCTTACATGTACTAATAAATTAGTCTTTTCTTCACAATAAAATTACAAGAAAATAGTTTTCCTTCTTTCTTCACCTGTACAATTTACCTTCAAATCAACCAGAACTTTCATGGCAGGTAAACAGTGAACTCAATTTTTACACCTGCTAAACAGTAGATGTTCACTGGAATTTGACGGTACTTTCCAGACAGTTTGTCATAAATAACAGATGTTTTTAAGTTACCTGCCATAAAACTTCTTCACCAGTTACATCACTTACCACTCCCATCTGCCTTCTTTTTTACACTGAGGCTCTATCCAGAGAGAATACTCTAGTTTTACAAGTTGGACTTTTAAAATTGGTGTCTTGAAATTGATGGTTGGTGTCTCCTTCCCAGCTTTTTACAGAACAAGTGTGACACTCCGGACACGTTAACTTCTGCTGTGTTTATTGCCTGGCAATGGCTACATGTACACCTGTATGCACAGTTTTCCTTGCCAAAACAACTATTACAAATGTAGATATATATGTACATTTCTGACCCTCATCTACAGACTGGTGTCTCAGTAATTTTTCACATTTGTAATTTACTCAGCCAACTCCATCCATAATTTGAACACACTTTTTCTGCTGACATGATGAACATGGCAGCTGAACATGTTAAATGTAAATAAACTGTTTATGGCTTGCTAGGTTTACTTCAAGTCATGCCCTCCATGTCATGTCATCTTTGCAATTTGTTAAAGTACATCTCTCCTCAGCATTACAGCTGTTACTAACATATGATAACTGTCTAAGAAACAGCATCATTGTTAGCCCTTCCGTCAGTACTATGTCCATACAGCCAGATTTCCTAAGCAATATAATCAACAAATTGGCTACCCTAGCTGCAAAAATCAGCCAGGCCAGTCCTGACATGACTGGGGTCAGAATGAGCCGTGTGATATGATACGTATCGCTAATAAAGCAGAGCCCTTTGTTGAAATTGGTAGTTTTTGATAACCTACTTTTCGTTTAACTTTAGCAGCAGCTTTACTTGAGGTTAGAAATAGATTTAATGCATAGATGAAAAAGACTTTGTACAATTTACTCTCGAGCCCAAATATGCAAAATGCTGAAATCAGAAATGTCAAATTGTTTATCATGCCTTAAACTGTTTATGCAACACAGCATGCTTGAAATCTAAAAACTGACAAACTATTTGACTCAAAAGTGTATTCAATCTCTCCGTCAATCAATGATGCAAGTGTGGACTATAGCAAGATCTGCACAGAAAAAACAAGGGTTTTTTGCTTTCGGTAAGAGCCACCAGCCAAAATTTCATATGAAAGTTTAATACAGTCAAACTTCGTTAATAAGAGCACTGTTAATACAAGATTCTGCTTATAACAAGGAAATTTTTAAGTCCCAACCCTTTGTTCCTTATTGTTTTCATTCCTGATTATACAAAGTTCCTGTTATAACAAGATAATTTGCCACGTCTAACGAACCTCCTATTAACGAGGTTCGACTACTCATCGATGGCAATCAATTCAGTTTTGCAGAAAGCTTTTACTGTTGTAAACATAAACCATTCTGCTATGCAAATCAGAGAAACTGGCCTGTTATGACACGATCTGATCTCTAGTAGTTTCTGACCTTTCAATGCTGCGCGGTGGCTCTTGACCCCTAGGATAGAGGACAGTCTACCCATGGATCAGTATGACTGGATAAGAGGTCAGTCGTTTCAGTATCCTGCAAAGTTGGAGATACATATAGGAGTGTATCTGATAGTTTGCCAACGTTAAAACTTGAACCCATCGCTGGGGATGTTAGTGTTGGCTTCAAACTCGTAAGCTTGTTGGACAACCTGTGGAGCCAAGGCTGGGTCCTCCTCATCAATCTGTTGGGAAAATGAGCACAAAGTCGAAGTGAACATATGGCCATAGCATAAATTACTGCTTTAGTAGTGTCAAAACAGGAATGATCACTTTATTTCACGTACTTCTTTAAGGCCACAAATTTGAGTGTTTTATGTACTTCACATCAACACGTTACTGTGCTCAGTAGAAGTGACTTGTGACAAGCCACCTAAAGTACATGTGTGATTAAAATTTCTTTTTTAAAAGCTTTCAAGTACATGTTGTACAGCAGAGACAATCCATATATTTGCCAAGGCAAGGGCTCCTTTGAAGAACAAACTGGTTATTTGTGTGACTCAAACCCATCCCCTAAGGCATTTTTATGAGGAACTTTCCCAAATCCTCCCAAACACTTCATTCATTGGCACAATTACTGTACTTAAACCCTACATGCGTCAGGGTTTTGTGGATCTTCCTGTGCACCCCCCCCATGGAGATCTCAGCTGTTGCATGACCAGTTTTTTTTTAAACATGGCATGCACATTAAGACATTCAGGACAACTGCAAAGTTTCAATTTGATCTGTGACAAATGATTTGTTGTTATGGTTTGACAGTTCATGTTCTTACAAATGCTAGCCTGTGCACTGAGCTGATCTCAGTGGGAAGAGTTGATATATTTGGCCTTCCTATGTGTGGCTAACCCACCCCTCTTGGGGTCTTCCATACTCCACTGTATTTGTTCTATGGTAATTCATTCCAGGGCCCCTCATCCTTACTCCTTTCACATTCGTTCCTACCCAGTTAGCCAGCCATCAGCTGTCTCTAATCATTCTAGTCTAGCTTTCATTTATACCTGGTTGATTTCTTGCCTGTTTCTTGGTCTCTGCCTACTTGTAATTTTGCCTTTGACAAAATTCTGCCGGAATTGAAACATCATGCCCTCTACTTTTCAATTTGTGTATTTCAGGGACACTGAAGCCATCAGGGAGTTTGGCAGCAGTATTTTACACTTGCATTTTACATTTCAGTACATTTCTACTCATGCATTTAAAAAAAAAAAAGCACAATTTTCAGTAATACTCACGTCTGAGAAGTAGTGCTCGATAATTTCATATGCAAGTTTGTAGACTTCGTTATTTTCACTGTTTTGTAGATTTTCAATCTTGTCAACACCTGCAAAAAAAAATCCCAAAACAATTTAATACAAAGTTCATGTCATGGGACTGATCACGCCGATTCTGCTAAGCTCAAACCTCTTAATATCTTTTACTATATGCTTACAGGAAATTGTCAGTTTATTGGCTTGTCCCTAAATTTCTGCCAAAGGTGTGAGGTGTCACTCTCAGGATGAGCCGCAATAAACCATGATGTAATTACTGGCTGAAATAAAGGCCACTTATGCCAAACGTGAGGGCATTAATGCCATCAGCATACCAAAGTTCTGGGCATTAATGCCATCCCAATTTTTTTTTGCAAGTGTACTTTCTAAATGAGGTATATCGACATTGCATGAAAATCAATATTCATTCAGGCCTGGGCAAAAGTAGGATACACATTATACCTAAACATTCCCGTGATTAGTGCCGAACCAGCAGCCAAGTGTTGAAAGGCTTCGGCCCGTTTTGACTACAGTCGTTCTTTCCTCAGCATATTGCCTACCACAAAAACTGGCTAGGCCAGTCAACTGAGTGATTTTGCACACAAAGTAAGTGAGAATCAGGGTAGTCCCGATCGATGTCGTGAATGTACAGTTCAGATCGCTTGCGGTGCATGGCACTAAACTGCAAACACTACATTGCGGTGTTAGTTAAAATACTGCCACGACCATACAGTTGTCCCATGTGCATGAAAAACGTGGAGCTCACGCGTTAGCGCGTTCACATTGATGAGCACTTAGTTTTAGACCAACATTATTGCATGGTACATTCAAATACTTCGCTTGGGCATGCGCTGTTATGTTAAGTCGTTGGATAGGCCGGCGGGTGTTGCGTGGCAACACTGACTGTGCCACGCTTGCAATCGAGCAGTATGCATGGCACGGGCAAGACTGGGCCGCTGGTGTGCAGCGGGCTGAGTGTACGACGTCCTGCATATGTATGCATGTCACAATCACTTTTCTGAGGCACCATGCCCAATTGGGAGGGCACCGACGGCCATGGCCGTCATGAAATTCGAGGCCTGTAATTACATCACCAGCTTGCTACTTAAGATATGAAAAAAGCTTGCACATGTGTTCTGCTGCCCTCTACGGTGGAACGCCACTATAACGAACAAGACGGGGTACATGCTAAATGTTCGGTACAGTGGTCGTTCGGTATAGTGAATTTAAATGAGAAACATTTCGTTGCCATGTTGAATAGCGCCCTCTCTTGTTTACCCGAAGTGCAGCCTCTTATGATACCTTGGTTCACTGTTTTCGTGATGTTTTGCCGTTGCATTCAAAGTTTAAGGTTTCTAGAAATGCATCTGTTAATTATTTTTGTTTTTTATTTAAACTTGAGTCAAAAAATTGATATCAAGTTTATCCTGAAAGTCGCGAAACTACCGCTCAGAAATGATCTCTGATGCATGCTTTGGCGAATCTTGGTTGATTTGTGTATCAGCGGCACTCTTTTTACACTATTGTTAGTGCAATGCCACCGTGTGAGTACGTGCGGTTTTCTTCCGCACCCAATCATGTGGAGTCGCAAAACCAGCGTCTATTCAATACCGTTGACAACTAGCGGCTTTCCCTTCTAATCCTTGGGGAAATAATGGCCACTTGTCACTTTCCAACATACAAAAACACCGACTGGTTTATCATACAAACGGCAACTGAATAGTGTTCGGTAGGTCCTGTGCACAAATTATTGGGTACAGCCGAATTATGTTTGGTACAGCCGAATGTTCAGTATAGTGGTGTTTCGCATTGCGGGGTTCCACTGTATAGGTAGTATTGCAGTAACAGTTTACTATTTCCATTTAAATCGAGCACCCTCGTTGCATTACTTCCTCTGTTACTTACCTCCACACATTTCAATCAAGGTAGCAATCTCTTGGTAGTTCTCCCCGGAAGTCTTGAGGATGTTCAAGATGGCATCCAGACACACTTGAACCACCTGGCAATCCTTGACCGTCAGTAAATTGCAGAGTGGTGGGATGACATTATTTTCATAGAGGGTCATGACTTGCTGTTTGCTGCCACTGATCGTCAGGTTGCTGATGGCCCAAGCTGCCTCTTTCTGCGTCTGGAAGTCTGACTGTTTGCACAACATGCAGTGAAGAACATTTCAAACCAAAGCCCTTTCACAGAATAAATGCATCTTTAAAACACTGAATTATTTTGGGAATGAACTCCATAGAAGTTTGCCGAACCGTAAAACTGCTTTTAGATCAGTTTTCAAGCAACTGAGACTAGCTTCAGAAGAAAAATGGAGCTATGCATCGGACATTTTGGGGAAACTACCTTTTCAGTGCCGGAGTTGTCTGTTGACCAATGTCTGAAAACTCAATTATTAAGCACATTATTGGCTGGTTGCTTATCATCACTGATGGCCTATTTCTTTGTGTCATGTTTGTGCTGGTACTTGGTGTTTACTGAGAAAACACAGTGCCAGGAAAAAATATCCAATGTGACAGATAACGTACAAAAACTAAAGCATTAATGATTACAAGCTCAAAAGTCAACAACCTGTCGGTGTATTCTGATGAATTACACAAGTTCTTACACTATTATTTTCAAGTAATGATGGTTGAAGCAGGATCTCTGTCCCCCCTTATACCTAATTCTGGAAGACAGAAATGAAGCGCATACACACCCTATCTAAATGCCTGATTATTTCTGGTAGGAGTCCTGCATTGATGACTGCTTGTACTTGCTGCTGGTTGCCTGCTGTAATGTTTGAGAGGAACCATACAGCTTCCTGTAAAACCAAGACAAATGTAAATAACCAGTGCACTCACAGTTATGATCTGTGTATTTTAGTGTCAATGGTAAATTGCTGTAGGTCTCAGCTTAGCACAACCTGGTCAACAACTAATGAAGACACTTTATATTGAATGATGAATGTAGTATTTTGCCAGCAATAAGCAGACTGGTAATATGACTAGAATTCCCAGTGTATTACCACAGCTAGAGTTAGCACCAGAGACAAATTGCAGTAACACAATCTAAAGTGGCTCACTTAAGCAGATTAAAGCCAACTATATTTCTAGTAAGTCTTGGCTTCATTCAATGGTCTCATTTATAGACCAACAGCAAACACACAGAGACACAGTGTTCTAGCCAGACATTCAAAAGCATATCAGGCCGATACGCTGAGCAAAAACCCGAACAGGCTGAAAATCCCTGATTGATCACTTCTATTTTCCAGGGGAAGAGTTGTTAATATTAAGTTAAAGAAAAATTGCAATCAGAAATTTGAAAAAAGTTCGTTTAAAACACCGGCAAAAAGTCACCAGAATACCGGCAAAATGCACCAAAATCGAACGAATCTTCCACAACACGGCATGGCTAGCTAGGTACACACACAAAAGTTCATGTACCATACGTATGTACACCCAAGTTTTCACAGCTCTATGGAGAATCACGTACATGCAGCATGCACAATACTGGTTCCCGCCATGCCACTAACAAGGTAATACAAGAGTAGATAGGTCTGGAGCCAGACTACAGCTCCAGATTGTGCACAGCTACAGCGGTGATGGCATGGCTGGCAGCACAGTAGTTGCCCGATCCTTTCATAGTGTCGCCTCCAAACTGATCGAAGTAAGCTAAAACTATCTTGTCACATAACCTGGTCTTTCTCTGTAGTTTCTTTGAATGCATTTAGGCTTATATCGATGGTTATTTTGATATACTTCGTCGTGGTTCACGAGGACGATTTTTGGTACATGTAAGACCGTGGCACACACAGTCTCGGTGGCCAGTGCGCACAGTACTGTATCACATCCATGCACAGTCTTTGTTTCTTTTTGTATCAAGCTTCACATTTCCTTCATAATTTCAGTATCGTTAATCAATCTCATTTATTTTTTGGCAGTATGTGTTCGTTATTTTAAGACCAAACTTTTTATTATTTTTGGCACAAACATCTAACCTTATGATAATGGGAATAAGTTTGGAATGATTACGCGACACATTCTTTTCAATAAAAGTTTTAGAACCTAGAAAGAAAGTACAAACCATGGTAGGCACCTGGGTGAATTAAATTAATTTTCAAGTAGGCCTGCATGTGTTTGTATACGTAGAATAATCATACATTTTGAGTTAAAACCCCAAGAAACTATTCAGATTGAAGTTTTTCCAAATGAAATGAAAACCGAGGTGTAGGCCTATTAAGCTAGTTAGTTTTCTTTGATGCATATCAAAACAATTTTGTACCACGGAGCTTCTCAAACAAGAACAAGCTCATGTAAAAAACAATTGTGCAGTAATGAAATGTGGATCAGATATTTATTAGACATTTGCCCCTTTCCTTTGCAAAAACAAAACAAAAAACAAGCGAAGCCCCCCCCAAAAAAGTAGAGAAAAGGGTAGAACTTGGGAGTCAGTGTAAAACTGGTAATTTTGCTTTTTACAATGACTGAAAGAAAAAAGAATGGGGTAATGGGCGCTTAAAACAAAGCTGTTATATTTAACGTAATAAATTTGGAACAGTGCCCTTTGGGTTGTCAAATAATATCCAGTGCCCCCTCCCCCCGTATCCGGCATGTCCGGCAGACGCCCCTATCCTTTAATTTCGTCCTGGCTAGAACACTGCATAGACAGTCTGAAGAAAAGTTACTAGGGAGGCAAATTGACCAACTTACTGGCAAACTGGGCCATTCTTGCAAATCAGTATCACTTTTGGCAGAACAACCACAGCAAAGACACTTCCAACTAAAAACTGGTCATTGAAACAACTCAAACATGATTCACCTTGTAAACTCATTGATCAACAAAGCACGTACCATTTGAACATGGCCTTCAGATATCAGCAACTGCATGGGAGCTTACCTTGTTCATTTTTTCCTTTGGATGTGACAACAGCTTTGGGAAGTGTGACAATGCATTGCAACTCAGTACTACCTGCGTCTGTTCATCTGTTCCCGTGACAATATTACCAACTGCCCTTAATGCTGCTGTCTGTGGGCCAAAAGCAGAACATTCCAGTTTGGATATATCATTTTGATTCCCATCTTAAAAACAGAAGGTTTTCATTTGCATCACAATAAAGCAACCATTCGAGACTAAATCAACATTTCTATTGGGTCTTGAGACCCTACCTGATTCAAAGAGTTTTCCTTGGAAAACTTGTCTGGGTTTCTCTCCCACTTTGAAAATTGAAATTTTCTTTATTGAATTCTTTATGCAAATTTATCTTGTAGGCTATCCCAGACAAATGCAAAATAGGTAGAAGATAATAATGATCTTGCAGCCAACAATGTATTCTAAAGAAACTTCAACTGTTTCAACTGAAGTAGGCTTGGGGTTTCAAAACCAATGAACGATTCATGGAGTTTTACAAAAAAATAAAACATGCTATGTGAATCGCTCAACCTGCTAAAATAAAAAAATGGCACATCTAATGGTATGGTTTCATGGATTCTGCTGCCCGAAGACAACGGAAGCTACTTTTGTTTTTCAACAGTAACGTCAAACATGACATCCCCCCCAAGAAGTGGTTTGAAATAAATTAGTATGTTTGGAATTCTAATTACATTCCGATAAACGTACCTGGACTTTGTCTTCTTTGTGACTGAGTAGTGGTACAAGAAATGGAACCACACCTGATATGATGACCATTTGAATCTGATCGTTACCTCCATCTGTCAGGTATGACAATGCCCATACTGTGTCGACCAGGATCTGCAAACAAAAGGATCCTGAGGTGTTCAACACTTCCACCTACATGTGTCTAGAAAGTCACACTGCACAGTATATATGCACAGTGATCACACTACTGGCCCAGTCTTTTCTCATGGGCTCCAACTTTCCAAGGAGTAAACACTGCATGTCTGACAATCCTCCATGACTTTGACATCTGCGTAGTGAAATTACAACTGTCCACTTGTTAATTGGGGCCTTAATGATTTCAAGAAACAAAATCAACACCCCTGTGACCACAAAGTGGTATTTTCCAGACTCACAGAGACATTTTTGTGTGGGATACGAACGCACTGAAATCCTCCAAAGCATGAACGCTTTGTTTCCAATGGTCCATACAGTCTATCAGCAGATAAGTCAAGTATCTTGATGATTTAAGAACAACAAAATCAACTCTCAAAACCTTCATGTTGGTGTTGAAGCAAAGGACATATGAACCTCCAGGAGCACAGCAATCAAACAACTATTGTTTTGTTACATAGTATCTGATATCACATACCACCATTCTGTTTAATGAAACATAACAGATTTATCATTTAAAAATAGCATGACACGTTCTTACGCTGCATCCCCCTTCTACCAGTTTCAATACAGCTACACTCTTACATTTGTGTCTGTGTGATGAATGAGTGCACTTAAAGCCGGCAGTAGTTCCCGAATGGTCTCTTCACGTGGTGGAGGATCCTTGTTCCGACACAGGTTGACTATGACCCAGGTGACATTGCGAAGGAAGGAGAGGGGTATGTTAGGACGGATGAAGCTCAGCAGGGGTCTGACCACACCCGCATCAATGCAGATATCCCGACACTTTGGACCATCACCTATTGACAAATTGATGTCAGTATATCAACATCCATATGGTAGATTTTTTATGTCACACATACTTTTTTTGAAACAAGAAACCCTTTTGTAAGTTTGATGTGGCAAAACATGTACCTGCTCTATAACAATAACTCCAAAAATTATTTGCAAACATTGCAACTCAACTCAGATTAACCCTAAAACATCCTAAATCCTCCAAATCCTTTACGAAATTTTGGAGAATTTTGGATTAAGGCTGAATAGCAAATGCATGTAAGTGTGGCTAATTGGGAAGGATGCACTGGGTCAAGGTCCTGGGTAAAACCTTGTCAATTATTCTCTGCCACACACGAATTTGTGCTTTAACTGTATATCAACTCATCCATACTGCCCCAAGATACATGGACCATTTGCACTGCCTCAAAATGATAGGAATTGCTGGAGGAATTAAAGGAATGAGGCAGTGGTCACTCCTCCAAAGGGCACATTCCAGAAATAACAGAAGAGTTTGGAGATTTGAAATTGTATCGGATCTTTCTACGGAGGCAGTTTGAGGATTTGAAAGGATTTTGGAAGATGCAACCTAGCAAAGGACATGGGGGATCAGGGTTAATGTCAAGGGGTATGTAAAAAAAGGAGGCTTTGTTTTGAAGTACTTCCTGCAAATACCTTCATCAATGCAGAAAGTATTGATATATACGGCCATCTGAAGCAAGATATGGGACGGAGAGAACCCCCCCGCCTTTGTGTTGGTCATTGTTTGATCGGAATCTCAGGAATTCTTTACAGACTTCTAGGAGGGATGTGTTTGGTATCAATAGTCTAGAGCGTGTATAGGGATTGGACAGGTAAGGGGGGGGTACCCCTCCATCCCATATCTTGCCTGGTGTATATAGGGCTTGCACTTAGTACCATTGTCTGAAGCAGACCCATTGTACTCACCAATAATATTTCCTAGTGCCCAGACAGCTTGCTCGCAGACATTGCCATGATCCGAGTTTAATAAGTTCACAAATTTGGGTACTGCATGAGCATTCACTACCGCCATTGTTTGCTTTGACGTGCCTGAGGCAATGTTTGTTAATGCCCATGCTGCCTCAAACTGTAATGCAGAACTAGAAAATAAGAGAGGAAGAAAGGACATAAACACTAACATGTTGGCTGAAGAGCCATCCTGAACCCTCCTGAAACTGACACTGCGCGGAAATCCTATGGTAAAGGTACACTGTCTGTCATAAGCACTCACACTTCAATGGGTTAACTGGCAGGTATGAAGACATCTGTGCACTGTATGTGAACACTCTGAAATATCAGCCTATACCTACAGGTGGAGTTTGAGAGATCTAGGAGGATTACCTGCTACTTTACATTCAAATAGTAGTCCTAGGGTATGACTGACTTGATTATGATGACATATTGCTACCAGTCAATGTTGAGGCAAGCAATCGTTACCACATTTGTTTCTAAACATGACCACATCTGGTCAGCGGAAGTGGTAAAGTAGGTGTTTCGAGAAGTCTTTCCTTTTTAAAATCAAGGATGGATACATACATATACATGAAACGTGTTACAAGATACAAATGGTGAAGTAAGTTATCTACATATGAGAGGATTTTTTAAACTGCCCCTTTTAAGTTCTCAAACTCCAATTACATTTGTGCAGTTTAACCCTTCCATCTGTTTGAATAAAAAGACTACACTATACTGCATGTTCTGCACATGGAAACTAAAATGTATAATGTATTAAGCACAAACAAGTAAAATTTCATGAACCACTTCCTGCCAGGGACTCCGGGATCGAGACGTATGGTTTATATGGGTGGCCGGGGTCTCCGAACTCGGACAAAGGAAACAGGGCCCTGTAACAAAAGACTGTACTCCGAACAAAAGACCAGGCTGCTGGGCATTACCGATATTTTTCAATCTCAAAAGTGGTGATAATCCAGCCTTGTTTTGAAACCGTATACCAGGGTTTGGGGCATTGAGAGCGAGCGGATTACCACCGGGGACAGAAGCGCTCCACCACTGCAGGGATGAGCCACATAGCACTGCTGCACGCTAATCTGGCCCCCACTGAAAAGAGGTCAGCAGTGCACTAAGCCAGGTTCGTGAACAAAAGACAGTTATACAACACTGCACAATCTGGGCTCTGTTTACAAGGCTGCTGGCCTGGCTGAAATACTCAGGTGTCAATGAAGGTCACCTGTCAACTTAGAGTAGTGCCTAAAGATTACTTGGTGCGGCTATAAACGACCGTTAAATGAAATGATGAATTTTTGAAGGATTTTGAAAATGGAAAAAATGATAATCATGCCGGCCCAGCATCATCAACACTGAAAAATGCCCGGGCATGAAGTGGTTAACCATGAACATGTCAGCCTTTTTATGTCTTACCTTTGGCTGTCCAGGCACTCGACCAAGACAGGAAGAATGCCTGACGCAATGAGGTCATCTATTGGTGGATTGCGATCACTAGACAGGAGTTTTCGTGCCGACTGCACAGCAGGGAGTTGTATGGCTGGTTGGTTACTGGCTGCTTTTTGCACAAGCTCGTGGTAGGAGATTTGGTTCTAAAACAAACGGAATCGAGATACATAGCACCTCACTGGCTAAAGCTATTTCTGTCATTATTGTATCTGATCAACCACACTCACATGCTTTGCATGACTCAAAAATACAAGTACCTCAAAGAAAGTCTGAGAAAATACAAACATGGGGACATGCATGCCTAAAAAAAAATTTCAGGATGGATTTCCACCTGTAATTCAAGACCATCACCGTGCAAGTGAATGAATACTAGCTGGATAAAATCTTACAACAGGTTCTTCATCCGATTCCCCATCCACAGTGGGGACATTCCGCCTCTTCAACAGCGTCTCATCTCGCTTATTTTTCCGTAGCTCAACTGTCACCTCATTTCTCCTCCTCCTCATCTCCTGCACAACAAATCCAAAAGAAAGTTGGGTACTGATGGTAAATCATGGGTTTCCAAACAATCTCTGCAGTTTTGGATGGCTGCTCTTCTTATGATGATGTCAAACACAACATGCTGAAAAATCAGCATTTTCCTTGAAGAAACTAGTAACTAGAAACAAATTCCTGTTTTCATTGCAAAGAAAGCTTACTTTCCTGTTCTGTGGCAGTTATACGTATCAAACATTTTATTACTGGTAACATTTGAATCTACGGTACCTCCAGATCAAATTACTAGGAAATTTTCATCTTTACAAGCAGGGCTCAAAATTAATGGGCGCATGCAATGCATGTAAAGCTGTTCGATATTCAGTTCTTTTCATACACCGGTATCGTGAAAAAATATCGCGATATCCGATACTATCGTGATGATGTCATTTTCCATTCATAAAATAAACACAACCAAAATCACCATGTCTCGAGTGACATGTAAAAAAAAAAAAAAGATGTACTGGCCTACTTATTATTTCTACATTAGTGTTGGGCGGTTCCAGAGTTCTCAGAGCCGGCTCCGGTTCCACCTAAGGATCGAGATTCTGAGTTAGAACCGGCTCCCAAAGATAAGAAAAATATAAGGTTTAATAAAACACATTAAAAATCTGTCACTGCCATGACGCGCGCATCAAGCCAGTGCCATCGCCACTGCACTCACAACAGACTGGCTTTTGGCCTTTCGTGGGCCACGCATGCAATAACTAATGTGGTTTGGTACCCAGACACAACGGTATTTTACAGTTCATTAGTGTTCTTCCTTGTGTGGAAGGGTGCCTTGCTAAATGTACAGCATGCTTATACAAGTACACGCGGGAGCGGCAGTGACTTGGATTCGATGTTTGCAGTAGTCACGGGCGCTAAGCCGTGACTGGGACTCGGATTTGATGTTTGGAGTCGGCTCTTTGAATGTACACGTAGAACCGCCAATGGTGGGTACCCGGTTCTTCACAAAGGCAGAGCTGCCAATTCAAATTTTTTTGTGGAACCACAGTTCCACTCGGAACCGGGATTACCGCACAAGCCTATTCTACATTTAGAACTCTCATATGGCGCTGGAAAGCAAATTTTAACATGGAAATTGTAGACATTAAATTATCATATATCATATCATGGCACCATACAGAAAAAGCCAATTCCCTGCACATATTAGCAATAAAGTGCGCTCAATAAGGCAACTCCCAAAATGGACAGAGCACATGCATGTTAGTAGAGGGGCTACTGGTATTGACATCCTCACCTCATTTCGAAGTTGTCATTTATTTCTCATAAGTCGGCATGTTTCACTTGATCCCTTTTCTACAAAACCACAAAAAATCCTTCTTGTAAGTCGGCAATAAAAATATTGCGCTTCGGTATCAGTTTCCTTCGCCGTAGTTGCCTACATCTAGAAGCATCAAACGATAAGCCCCACACTACTACTACTACTAGTGATGCATGTGCTTGGTTGAATCCGTCCATACCAGGGACCACTCTTGTGCTAAACGCATGCGCTCTGTCCATTTTGGGGGTTGCCTTATTGAACGAACTTAATCAGGCCTTGCGTTAACTTTTTGTCCTGGCTGGCCCACTGGGCTAGTTAACTGGATTATTTTACTAGCCCGTTTAGAGTTTTAATAGCCCTTACATAAAAACTTAAAACTCCAAGTTTGTTATCAGCTCACCAATAAAGAATTTGACATTTCATAAAATAAAAGGCTGATAATAGTTAAATATCGCTTGATTCACTGGTAACAAGAGTCGGGAACAAAATCACCTCTTTGCTCCAGCTTTCCCCTGATTTGGGTTGCTTACATTAGGCAAAAATTGCCACTTTTTGCTTACTTTCTGAGATTTATATTGATATATAGATTTATATTGAATACATGTAGTTATTTTGATCTAAATGTTAACAAGTTGCCTTATAAATTCTGAATTTTTCATTAGCCCACCGGGCAACCAAGGAACCAAGTTTAGGTAGCCCAGAGCAGTTTTAGCTGGAATTTGTACGCTGGGCTAGTATTATTTCAAGGCCTGTTAACATGTAGGCCGTTTTCCAATACTCGACTTCGTCTCCATTCAGGCTTCAACTGTTTTTTTACTACCTGACTTTGAAATTGTAAGCGTAATAGCAAGTTTGATAGTGGCACAAAACACCAAGTAAGATGCAAAAGAGCCAAACACTACAGTTCTTCAATTTAATTGAAATATTTCAGGCCCACAATTGGGAATTTGTTTTGGAGACGGAGCCTGAGACGGAGACGAAGTTGAGTGTTGGAAAACAGCCGTGTACGTATGGGCACGCGGGCACAGTATGACAGTCTCGAGTCCCACGAGAGAGACCAGACTTATGTGTAGCTGGAGTACATGTACAATACATTACACGTGTGTACAGTCTGTTGGTTTGGTTCTGCCCCCTAATACTTTTAAGACCCTTGCAGCTACTTAGGGCCAACAGTGACTTTGTGGTTGGAGATTTTCAGTGGAGTATTTGTGTGGCCTAAATGCAGTAATGCATGCAGGGCCCAACACGTGGTGCATTGACTTCCCTATGTGCATGTACAGTACATCGTTTGGAGCTTATCGCGATAATTTTTGGCATATCGATTTGCATGATATCCTAATATGTGTTTTTATGAACGATACGATATCCGGTAGCTAGTGGTACTGAGAGTGACATAAATTAGTTCACTGCACAATGCACCAATATGCACCACTGCATACTGGTGCATTTAGCAGGGTACCCATGTGAGGTTTGGTGCATTCTACTGCCTTTAGCAGGGTCTTTGGCAAATGCCCCTTGGGGGTTAGGGTTAACATTTAGAAACTTGTAAGCTATAATTCAGCAATCCTAGTCAATGAATTTTGGCATTAACTTTTGGAAAGGTTTTACTCTATCTGTCCCATAAAAATCATACACTTGTACATATCTTCAAGATGGAAAATACTGACTACAATAGAGGATGACTGATGAAATTGGACAAATTTTGACCACAAAATACCAGCCACGAAAATAGCATTTTCAGCTGTTTTAGAGGATTGAGGCAGTAGGCACACCTCCAAGTAACATTTTCAAGAAATTTTGGAGGATTTCGGAAGATTGAGGAAGAATCTAATTTTTTTCACCCCCAAATTAGAGGATTCTGGAGGATTGAGGAAGTTCCGTAGCATAAAGGGCCTAGGGGGTTAGGGTTAATATATCATTTTGAGCAATTTTCTGACTGTTTCTGTCTTTTGGTCTCTAGTTTGTCACCTCAAGATGTCCATTCATTTACTGCAATGATTCATTCCCAGTTGTTGAACAGGTGATTAAACAATCAGGATCTGTTTGGTCTAGGGACCAGACAGCAAAACAGAGTGATTCAAACTTCTGTTTTGTCAGTGACTTTGTATCACTCAAGATGAAGCCTTGTGTATGTGTGATCACAGTGAATAAATTGAAAGAAACAGCTATAAGGTATATTTATGAGTTGTGCATCATTGTTGTGCAGTGCCAGTAGCACCACGCATGCAGCAATTATTTCACACTTGATCCCAAGCACTACATGTAGTTTAGTTCATTCCCGTTTAACGTTCCTTAACCCTAAATGCCCAAGGGTTGCTGGACCAAACCTTCCCCATTCACACACAGTTAAACACCCATATGGGACTTTGTGCACAGAGGCTGTTGGACTGAGGCTGAGGTATGCCAAACCCAATGCAAAAGCCAGCTGTCTGGCCTACTACTTTACTACTGTTTAATTCTGTGTGGTTGAGGGAAGGTTAGGGTTAAGACTGCCATGCTCTGGGAACCTACATGTACATCTCTAGCGCTCTTTGGTTCCAAGACCAAACAGATCCCATCTGTGTTTATCACCCATTCTATGATCAAGAGTGAAACGTTGTAGCATGATTCCTCCATGAGTATTAAACGAATAGCCATGTCAAGTCATTATGTCTGCATACCATACCATATCATTACGCTACAGGGGGTCACGGTCCAAACGCCGTGAGAAGGCAAGATGGTGGCGAACGGCGGCGCTGCTCAGAGACAATTTTTTCGCGTGAAAAAATCCCTTGAAATGTAGTAAAATGTAAACTCGATTAAAAAGAAATTATTCCTGAGCGTATACATTACAGTTCGATACATCTGTTTTCTGTTTTCAATGCATTTTGTAAGTGTTGACGGTGTGCTAACATTACTATCAATGTGTTGGTGCGTGTTGACGGTGTGTTGACGCTGATTAGTACAACCCTACATTATACATAAGTCTGTAGACTGTGAATGTGTTGGCCGAAGTCTACACAGGCATGATCAAGTGTTGTTTGTAAATCACGTATATGGGACTCTTTCCACAGTATCTGCCAACAAATTTCGCTCTGACTCATGTTCAGAAACGGGAATCAAACCCTCCTTTAATCAAACAATAGACAAACTGACCGCTGTTCACCTTGCCTTGCTTCATCATTTTGATCGCATTAATACACACTGCGTCATTCAGGGGTACTGTCAACGGCTGTGCATGCGCCAAGGTTGAGTCACATATCGCGCGCACGAATGTCATCCGTATCGAAATAAATTTTGACAACAACAATTAGCTCATATTAATACATACCTCCGTATCTCGCCCTTTGTTTTTGAAACTCTTGATTCTGTGGCCCATAGACCCATCTAAGTTAAAATCGATAGACATTTCTGCCGGCGAAAAACACAAAGGAACAGTCGCAAGAGCTTCAGAAATGGCACTACTTCCAAAATGCCGGCGAGACAATGACGTCACAGACGTTGCGATAAAGGAGATTCCAAGCTGTATTTTGATTGGTCACAATTATTTTATTTTCTAGCAATGTGAATAAAAATATTAAAGATTTTGAAATTATTTTAGAATTATTCCCACCGTAAGACTACAAAAAATAAAAATTAATGTTCAACTAATATTCTTATTTATATATTTACTTGTAATAACCCTTTGAAAATGCACTAAGTCTGAAAATCTTTGATTCATGTATAGACTAATCACGACCACTCTTGTGAAGCAGACAAATTTCCTGGTCATCACTGGTATCCTTCTAAATGGCTGGTATCTCTTACATGTTCGAAGATTTGTACATAGGCCATGTCCGAATCATTACTTGACGATGCGCTTACAACCACATATCCACAGGGCCGGGCGGCCGGGCACGCGCGCGAGCAGCAGCGCAAAGTATAGTAATAATGCTGATTCTCGGTCGCAGTTTACACAATGCAGTACGCTAAATACTCGCCCACAGAAAACAACGTAAATTCCGAGAGAAAAAGTGCTCCGTGATGCTGCACTGAGGTTCGCCTTCTCTATTCAATTCAAATTCAATTGCTTATATTGATCACCGTCTTCGCAGCCTTGAGGCTAAATTTGAAACAGTGTTACAAAAAATATTGAGATTCATAATCAACAAAATTAGATGTTAAAATGTACAAAAGAACGAGGCGAGCTGAAATAAAGATAAACTTGAATACTTTAGTACCGAGTGTGAGTGGTAAAACATCTGGGAATGGAAAGTTGGTCGTAGTTGCGTAAGTTATTCTTTCAGGTGGGTCCAGCTCCTGCAGTTTTTATACATGTAGGCCTATATGTCGGGCTACGCAACATAAGCCCACAAGTTGGAGGTTTTTTTGTAACGAATGGCATGCCCCATGTAGGTTGGAAACCACAAGTCCCAACTGTTTGCGTCAAGTGCCAAGATCATTCCCCGGTGAAAGCATTATGGCGCCCTCTGTTGTTCTCAGGCATTTAGGCTGTAATGATGGGATGTCAACGTGGGGCATTGCTCGTTTTTTCAGGAGCCAAGTGGATGGAATGGACGGTGGAGGAAGACAGTTTTTTCAACCTCTGCATCTTTCTCCTAGGTTAATCTCTTGAAGGAATTGAAGGGAATTATTTGGAAGCCTCTGTAAGACTAAGAGCTTTGTAACCCTTTGTACAAGGGCCTTTTATAAACGTTTAACTAGCGTTTATCACATGCCATGTAGTTTTGACAAGTTACGTAGAATTACAATTTGGAAGAGACAGTTGAAACGTACACCAGCGTGAACTCGTGCCTTTATTTTAGTGCACAGTGTAGACTGATATAGCTTCAAAGAACTGCTAGAGCGTTGGAAACTTCTGGGTATAATTGCAGGCCCAGTCCATTCACTCAATTACCAGATGTACGTGAAATAGTGAGAAGGTGGGCAATAGAGCCAGTACGTTAAGAAGGGCCCATGAACCGATAAAAGGGTACGTACAGTTTGATTTGTAGAAAAACTTACACAGTCAGTCCTGATTTTGGCGGGGGGGGGGGGGGTTGAAAATAACCCGCGGAATCATAAACGAGTTCGAGCGCAAGAGAGTCCAGCGATTCAGGGTATGAAGCGGGCGCCCTCAACACACAAGGTTGTACTGGTCCTTCGTGGTTCCGTGTACATGTAGGCTAAATACCGTTCAATAGTTTTAAACAAGGAAATCATTTTTCTGTTTTTCAAAATGAAAATCAAGGAAAACGATAAATGATTGGACAGAACACATGGACATTTGTGGCCTATCATTCAGAGTTGTAATTACTCGAGTCAATGGTCGAGTTCGGGCGGCCTGTTCTTTACACAGTTTTCTTGTTCTCGCGCTTGAACGGCGGGAACACGACCCAGGAACACTGTTCCCGAACTTGAACAGGATTACACACCACCCCCTCGTTGGGTTATACAGGAACACAAGGAAAAACTCGGGAGATTTTGACTTTTAAACAGCTGTAAGAAATAGCGAGATGGCTTACAAAGCCAGAGACAATGGGGAGTTTGCAAAATGAACAATATTAATTTTCCACAATACAGAAATGAATGTTCCTTTTTAAACAGAAAAGAATTCAGGCCAGTTACCCAAGCATTAACCCTCGAAAAACGTAACGGACGCCGCCATTAACAGTTTAACGTTCCCGGCGTTCGAGTGGCCTACCCACAAATAACATATCGAGCTGTTTGTGAACATACGAGAACAAGACGCCCGAACTCAGCCAATGACTCGACTTGAGTCCGACTCGAGTCACAATTTTTGGCGACCCTACTCGACTTGAGTCTCTACTGGTAAGTGGCTTGACTCAACTCTAGTCAGTTTAAGCAGACGGACTCGACTCAAATCGTGTTCTGCATCAGAAAAATGAACTTGAGTGAAAGGTAGTAAGACTCAAGTTGTGATAAAGAAAACAGCTTTGCAAAAAAATATTTGCAATGACTTTTCTAGGTGATGCTGGTGATGTTTTCTTATCGGGCTATTCGTGGGACGTTGGCTAATATGCCCTGATTTCAAAAGAAAATTACACCTTAATTTCAAAACACAAATAGATAAAATCCGACATTAACATAATGAAAACATATTTGTATTATGCAATTTTTCCTCAAGTCAGCCCCGTTGCCAGCTTCCGGCATTATAAAATAGGGGGCCTCAGTATCAACTAGGGGGCCACATCACAAGAAAAGATGCTTGTTACCGATGGGGGCAGCAGCATTTCACAGTTCTTTTAAGTGCAAGTATTCCACAGCTCTTTTGAGTACAATATAATGACAATCATGGACCAACGGCATGAGATGAATCCATGGACCACAAGCGAGAGGGAAGTCCCCGGGCTGTTTTCTTGATAGGTCCTTACGCACCGACCATCAGAGAGTAGGTGATGATTTAGGCCAGCATTCATCAAACTCAGGTTAACATCGGAATCATAGGAAAACTGGGACAGTAGCTGCCCCGCCAGTAGCACATAGAGTAGAATTACGGGATACCCTGTGATGCATAACACACACAATTTTCCTTCAATTAACTCTCAGCTTTAAATATTCCGTCCAGAAGCGAGGCTTGATTCACGATACTAAAATGTGAAATGGTAGTAGGTTTTCTCCGTTCAACCTAGAAAGGTTTCAACATCATAAAATCTGAAACGAATTTTGCCACGGCTGAATTGCAAATATAGGATTTTTTCAGATATTCCAATTATACAGTATAATATCAATGATTATACCAGTGCATGATACAAATCGTCTCAAATTTACTCACTAGGTTAAGGATAGTGTTTGGGTTTATCGTGGTAATAATGGGCAAAATCAACACTCGGTCCTCCTGCAGTCTGTGCTTTTCAGCGGTTGCTATGCTGCTGGTTTAAAGAAGAGCACGGACGGATCCAAGAATTTTTCCGGGGGGGAGTGTCAGGCCGCAGATTTTTTTAATGTCTCATTTTTAAGGACAAGCGAAAACGATGATGAAACATTAAATGGCATACATTCTATACAACTTTTGTGTGTGTAGTGAAATAGGTTATGCTATGATATGTTTCCTTTATGCGCAATGGACTCAAACCTCCCCTATAATGTAAGTTGTTTGCAAGGTGCAAATCACAACGGGTGAGGTAGTGGTCCCCTATTACACCATGTACTGGTCCTACGCATGTCGTAGCTCACTCCTGTGTTTGATTTATTCCTCTGTAAGATCTGAAGGGGATTGAAATAACAATTTATGTGATGAAACCTAGTTTGAACCTAAGGTATATGTACATCTGGCCACAGGGAGACGGCCCATAGATCTCTCACCTTGGCCAGAGACGCGAGAGGGCAAGAGCTCACGGACATCTCGCACCGTTCTGCTGGATCCTTATGCTGGTAGCTTGTGTAGGACACAGGTAACGTCTCGTTTTCCTACAGTGCCGACTCCCTCATCAAGTCTGGTGTTGGGCGAGCATCCCTTGCTTATAATAAATGATTAGAGTCCTTGGACACGTTATTCCTGACAAGTTTCCCAAATTATTCTTTATTGTTTTACAATCGAGTGTATAATTAATTCAGAATTATATAAATTCTTGTAATTAATATAATGTAGTGACTAACGTCAACAGTCAAATTTACTGTCACTCCAGGGGTCTTTTCATTTGTCAGCAAAATAAAACAGAAACAACAGCCGGGTCGGTGTTATTCCATTTCTGTGTGGCCACGGTCAGCCATAAATTATTTACAAAAGCCTCTACACTAACATCACTCTAATTAGGCGTACGTTTACTACCTGAAAATAATGTTTTCTCGGTAAATCTCGGACTTCTTTCATTTACAGTTGCTTAGAAGAAAGTTTAATATCGTCAGTGAGGGGTCACTTGCTCAAAATGTTGATTCTAATTGGGAAATAACACCACTAGATTTCACTTTCAGAACAAAATATTTATTATTCGTCTTGTTTATGGAATGGAATTGGATTGGAAAAGGCAAATTCTTTGGGGTTTTTTGTCTTTCATTTTACCGATTTAATTATTCAAATTTTTTTCAGTGGCATGATTGAAAAGTTCAGGAAAGACAAGTAGCAAGTTATCATCTGGTCGTTCTTATGATGATTATTCAATTAAATGCTTTTATCGTGCAAATTCGATAAGATCGTATGAAATTCAAGGAAAGTTACCGGTAACTCAAACTATCTGAACGATATAACTTCAATGACGAATTTACTTTTCTTTTCTTTTTAAAAAATTCTTAAACTAAATTAAATTTTCTAAAGTGCGAAATTAAGCGGAAAAACCTATAATGCGCGTTGAGGGCAATAAGAATTGTGCATATTGATTTGTGAAATGACGTGTTCAAATATTGAGCGTTGATAGGTCAATGGCGTGCAGATGACTTCTTTCTGACGGAAGAGAGCTGGTTTCACAAAGTAAATGTAGGTAGTCTCGAGCGTGCATAAATGATTGAAATTGCATGTTTTGGCTAATACAGTCAACTGCTGTTCGCTGTATTGTTTGGAGCATTCCGGGTGATCGAGCAAGCGTTGCCCTACGGCGAATGAAAGTGCCGATGGTTTAGGTGTTTGCCGTGATGTAAATGATAAAATAGTTTTATCCGTCATGATGTGTGCCCCACAAAGAATTACCCCTAGTTTTTAAACACGGCATCTTTGCCATTTCTAAGAATGCACACAAATTCAGATCACCAGCATCAGCCTTAACAACACGCTAATATACTCTAAAAGAGCCGGCATATTTTGGCTGATCTCACAGCTGGGGGCGGATTGCGCCCCCCCCCCCACTTGGCTGTGCCTCACATTTGCA